CCCCTCCGACACCCTGCGATGTCCCAAACAGGTCAGAATTCAGCCTAGGAGGCAGAGCTCTGTCCTCCTGCTGCTGTCTCGTTGCGACATCAAGCCGGAAGTACATTTTTAAGTTCCTTTCCCAGACCTGGTATCACAATTCTCCAGCAATGGCTGATTTCTCTCCATTTGCCAGGTTCACACAGTTCTGTTCCAATGCACCTAGGGAAGAAAATAAATCTTTTTTGTTAGTCAAATGTGAAACAGTTCCTCTCTCAATTATCCAGCTGGCAACCTTGGATTTATCAGCTGCCTGGACAAGAGAAATCCTCCATTTTCTCCTTCTGTCGCTTCTACAGCCGGCTTGTCTGCAGTCTTTCAGCAGATGTTGGTTTGATCCGTAGCCGAAACAGTGTTTCACAGTCATGGCTCTGCTATTTTGTTCTCCCCTCCTGGAAGCGGCATTTATCTGCTGTGGAGAGAATTCTGGTTTCTGTTTCTTGTCATCCTGGTTCTTTCATCACAGGCTGTCATATTTCATTCTGCTGTCGAACCTCTTACTCCTACGCTGCTCCTGTTCTAATAGTCTGCCCGTCAGGTACTCCAACATCAGATCGTCTTCGCCCATCGATTCCAAACTGGTAACTAAGACATCATAGTCCTCAGGATGACATACACTTTATGGTGTTCTGGAAATTGCACATCTCTTTGTTTCTAGCTCGTTAAAGACATTTTTTATTTTCTGCAGATGTTCAGACATGCTCTCACCGGGCTGTAGTCTGCATCTGTATGGCTTTCTTGTTAGAGAACACCTTGGTTCCTGCCGTGTCCCTAACATACATTTTTCTTAAAATGTCCCAACATACTTTTGCTGAAGTCAAGCCATGCACCAATTGGCTGTCTTCCAGGCAAAGGATTAATGTGCTTAAAGCTCTGTCATTAAGCCATTCTTGCTCTTCATTGAGCCTTGCTGGGGGATTGGCAATGATCTGCCACAGATCCTCCCTCCTTAACAGCATCTCAGCTTTGATGGACCATGTCTGGTAACTTATCTCATTTAATCTTGTCAGGGGAAAACCTCCCATGCTAGTTCCTCCAAACACCTGCATGCTGTTGGCTCTGCTCTCAGTCCTCTTTTTTTTTCTCCCCCTGGGCTCTCAACATTAGAACTCCCACCTTCCAGGACCTCCACTTCTTCCTCCATCCGCTATAGTGGCACCCACTGGTACCCACCAACATTCTTTGCGCAAGGCGGTCTTCGCAGGGCACATCGTTGGGCCCATAACCCCTTGTTAGTGCGTGAAAACGTAGAAAATTCTAGCAGAGTAACTTCAAGGTCCTGATGGCAAAATGACTCACGATCAGCTTCTTCCAGCACCAGATGTGTATTTACAGGATATTTACAAATATACAGAGGGACAGCATGACACCATGAATTCATCAGAAGAGCAGGAATACATCTTCTCTACACAGTCCACATATATACACTTATGCATCTGGCTGTATCCAGTCAGCACAGATGTTGCATCATCTTTGAGCCAGCCCTCCTAGGTCACCGTGACTCAGCATTTTGACACACCTGAACATGATGGCTGCTCATTAATACATTTGTTCTGCTCAGGCCTGTAAATTCTATACTCTGACATCTCCTAACCGAAGGAAATGAATGCCGTATAAGCATCCCTTATATCTAAATCTAGATTTGCCTTCCTGTGGAACTGTTGTTAGCTGTATCTTCTTGGTGTTAGCAGTAATTTGCCTGTGTTGTCACTGAAACAATGCTTTATCTTTTTCAGTAAGAATTAATGAGCAGCTATATTCAATTAAATGTGGACTGTACCTCTTCATTCAGTATCTACTTCCTGCTATATGTTGGCAGGGAGGTTGTTCTTGTTTTAGAATATATGGTCTTAACAGTCACTTAACATGTTTATTTTTGTTCCATGCACATATACAGAAATTAGAAGTTTTAACACTGGAAGGGAATCTTGACCCAGTTTTTGGTTTGGCTCTTTCTAGAACTGGAGATTCTACAAATAACTGTGACATTTACAGAACAGAATAAATAAATAAAATCGAAAACAACTGAATACAAAATTTTAAAGAATTGAATCTTGAAGAAGGGCTATATCTGCCCATAGCAGCAAAAACATGCAAATGAGGCATATTAGAAGTCATATGTTGTTTGGCATGAAGTTGTATAGTAAACATATGAGTAATGTCAGAGTAAGAGGATGACATGAATAAACTAAAAGGTCAGATGGTGCCTTTGTAAAATTCCTCACTATTAGAAAACAGTTGTGCTGTTCTGTACACTGTTTATGTAGGATACCCTTTGGAGCAATTCTTGTTAATTTAAAAATAAATGATGTCTGAAAGCTACATTTAGGCTGTATTTTATATGAATATCCAAACATCCAAATTACAGTGTTCTAGAGCACCCCAGATAAAAGGTGAGAACTTATGCAAAGTAACTATGAAGGAGTGGATTTGTCTTTACTTATCAGTATAGTTTCAGTATTTGTTGTGATTTTCCTGCATCATGAGTGCACAGTTTGACATGCTTGTTTTTGCTATCTCCTTTATAGGAAGGGTGGCAACAATAAGTTGATAAAAATATATCATCGAGACGGTAAATACGGTTTTTCTGATCCACTGACATTTAATTCTGTGGTGGAGCTGATTAACCACTATCACCATGAGTCTCTTGCCCAGTACAATCCGAAACTTGATGTGAAGCTTATGTATCCTGTATCCAGATACCAACAGGTGAGATATTCAAAGAACCATAATTATCATTAAACTCAGATGTTTTCTATAGATAAAATTTTGGCTGTAAGCACTAATCCCAGAACTAGTTAAAGGCAATTTGAAAAGGATCCCTAATTTGGGTGTTTTTCCTTTCAATTCTTTTTTAAATTCACTGGTTTAATTTGCCAGCTTCATAATTTAGTATAACAAATAATATACAAATATTAAACAAACTGTAATAAAAACAGACACTGGTAGCATCAGGATGTACCAGAGAAATGACTAGAACTCTCCTTAGAGAATAATTTTCTAGACTGGGGTTGTCAGCATGTGGCTTTGAGGATGTTGTAAAACTTCAACTCTCATCAGCCCTAGCCAGAATAGCCATGTTGGGTAATGCTGTGAGTTTCAGTCCAACAGTATTTCAAGGACAATACAGTGGTGCCCCGCATAGCGACATTAATCCGTTCTAGGATTAACATCGCTATCCGGGCGGGGAAAACCCATAGGAACGCATTAAACTCCATTTAATGCGTTCCTATTAGGGAAAAACTCACCGGTAAGCGAAGAATCCTGGATCCGGCTGCCATTTTCGCTGCCTGGTAAGCGAGGGCAGGGCGCGAAAATGGTGCGGGCAACCATTTTCTGCACCCGGCGGCCATTTTGCAACCGCTGATCAGCTGTTTCCAAAATGGCCGCCGGGTGCAGAAATGATCGCAATGTGATGTTTAGCCTATCTAAACATCGCAGTGCGATTGCATTAGCGACCCAAAAAAAGGGTCGCTATGCAGATTCGTCGTTAAACGGTGCGCTCGTTAAGCGAGGCACCACTGTACTATACCCATTCCTTTTCTAGACCTTACTGACTGTTCTGGCCCATCTCGGAGTCATTTCTCAAGTATTACAAAGTCTGTGCGTAAAGTGTGTGCAGGGTGGGCATGGGAATGTTAAAATCACCACCTTTTCTGCTTCTCATCAAATCTAGATCTTGGTACCCTGTTTCCCTGAAAATAAGACCTAACCTGAAAATAAGCCCTAATATGATTTTTCAGGATGCTCGTAATATTAGCCCTACCCCCAAAATAAGCCATAGTTAAGTGAAAGCCCGCCCTCCACCATTGTGCAGTAACCAGAAGAAGATGACGTGACTGTATTTGAATAAACATAGATTGTACATGGAAAAAAAGCATCCCCTGAAAATAAGCCCTAATGCATTTTTGGAGCAAAAATTAATATAAGACCCTGTCTTATTTTCGGGGAAACAGGGTATGTTACTTTGCTGTGATACTGCTTGGTATCTCTTTGGAGCTTTAAAATGGTAGGAAGATGTAGAGTGTTGAAAGCACGCCGTGTTCTAATAGAAATCTTGCAAAATTAGCCAGCTGATATCAAAAGGTTAATGTTGGCCATCCCAGCAAAATACTTGTTCACACAACTTTCTGAAATCTTAGCGCGATATCTCTACAACCCTCAAATATTTACACATATTCATTATATAGTTGGAATAGTCACTGTGAGAAAGCAGAGGGAAACAATTTAGTGAATATGTGAATATGGCTCCAGTGGAACTACGTGAATACAGAAGTATAGAAGCTTTGTTGTGCAGGAATAAGATGATCAATTTAATACTTGTGTTTCCACAAAGGTTGTTATTCTGACAAAGTAGTACTTGAATCTCTTTTGTACAAAACTGTACCTATTTTCTATTTTGATGTATAGGATCAGTTGGTAAAAGAAGATAATATTGATGCTGTGGGCAAAAAGCTTCAGGAATATCACACTCAATATCAAGAGAAAAGTAAGGAGTATGACAGATTATATGAAGAATACACCAGAACATCACAGGTATATTGCAATTTGCATTAGATTTGAGAGGGTGGGTGCAGCCCCTTGGCTTTTGCAAGTTGGCTAGCCTTGTGCTGGGGAGGGCTTACACACTTAGAGCAGCTGAAGGAAGGGGTTAAGAGTACTTCTCACTTCCACATTTCTCCCTTATAAAATACCCACTTAACACAACATTTCAGAAGTCACCAAAAGTTGTGTTGCTATCAAATAATGGTGAAAGAAGTATTTGGCCGAATGGAATTTTGAGTATTACTGAGTGTGTAGGTTTTTGCTGTCACCCTACCTAAAAACCTCTGTGCTACATCAGGACTCTGCTGAATGGGAGCACAGCAAAGAGTTAGCTGGAGAATAAAATACAGTGGTGCCTTGCTTAGCGATGTTAACTCGTGCAGAAAAAATCGCTGCTAAGCGATAACACTAAGCGAAAAAAGACCATAGAAACGCATTAAAATGTGATTAATGCGTTCCTATGGGCTTAAAACTCACCTTTAAGCAAAGATCCTCCATAGCACCACCATTTTCGGTGCCTCTAAAGTGAGGAATCCGTGCCTGAAAACAGCGGGCGGCCATTTTGTTTACCCGGTGGCCATTTTGAAACTGCCGATCAGCTGGCCGAAAATCGGGGCTTTGCGATGATCACTTCCCTGCAATCTTCGCAAAGTGAAATTCACCCATAGGGACCATCGCCAAGCGATCGCTTTTGCGATCGCAAAAACAGCGTCGCTAAGCGATTTTGCCGTAAAACAGAGCGATCCCTATGTGAGGCACCACTGTACATGATTTCAGTCCTTTAAAAATATGAAAGGCTGACCTTTCATATCAGAGTTGTTTCAGCCATCTCTTAGTGGCAGAAATCCTATTGGGCAGTTACACATAACTTTGCGGTAGAAGTTTTAGTAAGCTCCTTAGGGTTAGTTTGCCATCCTTGACTCCTATAAGTATCCATACTGGGCACTGAAGTTGAGGCTTCATTCATGGCTTCTGTTGGTATAGCATCCTGCATCCTCAGGATGATGGATCACTTTTTTGTGAGAAGGCAAGAAGGCAAACTAGGGTACCCAACCAGCCAAAGACACTTGTTGATTAAGTTTTATTATCTTGGTTTTGAAATACTAAACTTTTCAATATCAAATTACATACTACCAATTAAGAAGTCCAACATTAATAATCTTCATGTTATATAAAAATAATAATTAAATAATAGCGGAAGGCACCTCTGTGTTTTTGCGCTTCCAGTGGTTAATTGGTGACCTTTCTGAATTGGTTTCTCTGTGCAGGAAATTCAGATGAAGAGAACAGCAATAGAAGCATTTAACGAAACAATTAAAATATTTGAAGAGCAGTGTCACACCCAAGAACGATATAGCAAAGAATACATTGAACGATTTCGAAGGGAAGGGAATGAGAAAGAAATTGAACGGTAGGTCTGTCAAAATTCACATCTACCGGCAATCTCTGTCCCAGCGTGGTAGTGGCATGTCTTTTCTCTATAAATCATTGCATCCCTTCATGCCCCCAAACCTGAAGCAAACGAATTAAAAATACTTTTTAGTACTATATACATTATATGAACATATGATTCCATTTAAAAGTTGTAGTTCATCAGTTCCAGTTCCACAGCAGTATCAGCGGCACTGTCTAATTCCTGCATACTTTTGGGACCCTGGACAATATTTAACTATTTTCTCTCCTTCCCCCCTTATTTTCTCTAGTTAGCTGAATTCTAGATAACTCCAGTCAGTCATTTCAAATTGGAAAGAAAAATCTGTACTTCCTTTTTCCTCTTATCAGGAGTAAGAAAGTGGAAGCATCCTGTGTTTGCTGGAGTCTCCTGTACCATATTTTATGCCTATATTTTAGTTTCATGTTTCTGTACTTTTGGTTTATTCCTTAAATAATAAAATGCGAATAGGAAGCTGCCTAGAGTGGTCTGGTAGTCCAGATAGGTGAGGTATAAATTAAATAAATAAATAAATATATAAAAATTTTGAGTGGATGCTTATTTAGGTTCCAAGCTGGCAGGATTGCGACAGCATCCTGCACTGTGCCTACCATAAATCCTCTGCGCTTTTTAGTCTCATCTATAGGTAAGACACATATTTTGTGCTAAAAGTTTTTGTTTTGTTTTGTGGTCTTGATATGTGTACTAGCAACCTTTAAAAGCATTACATATTGTTTTCCAGGATTATGATTAACTATGAAAAATTAAAATCACGTCTGGGAGAGATCCATGACAGTAAGCTGCGACTTGAGCAGGACTTGAAAAAGCAAGCCCTGGACAACCGAGAAACTGACAAGAAAATGAATAGCATCAAACCTGATCTTATCCAGCTGCGGAAAATCAGAGATCAGTACCTTGTGTAAGTGAGCATCCTACGAATAGAAACTTCATGAGTCAGACTAGATGAGACTCTATTAATGCAATTAGCAAATGTTTGAATGACTTTTAAGAAATAAGTAGCAGGTATGATGGAACCTGATCCTGGTAGTGGTCAAATATATTATTCCCTACTATTCTCAAATGTGTGTCAATCCCTCCTACCCTTGCAACTGCTATTTAATTTGACTGCTAATTACCTTTGTGGTGATTTATCCTAAGACATTAACGGAGGAGGCTGATCCCTTTACAATGAGACAATTTTAACAACTAGCCTGCCCATTCAGTACTCACAAATAGCTGCATGCTTATTAATAATTAATCTGGGGGTGGACAATTTCTGAGGCATTTGACCTCAAAGGGCCCCTCATTCTTCTTTAATGTAAACATTCATGTCCTCTATATAGGATAACCCTATAGTTTTAGTCCTTCCTGTTCTGTTTTAGGGAAGGCATTTCCCCACCTCTCTTCCAAAAGTTATAGATTGGAGGGAAAAGAACCATGGTAAATATATTCTCTACATACCTAGAAGGTACATAGGGTTTATAAGTAAATAAAGATTTGAAGAGCGTGGAGGAGCTTGTTGTTAATTAGCCATTTTGTCCACTTGTGTTGTAATCCAAAATGTCCCTGGTATGGTCTGGCCACAATTAACTGTTATATTTCCCTTTGAAGTGAAAGGCAGTCTATATGTAATCAATGTTGTTAAATGAAGCAAATCACAGTAGAGAGCTTAACTATGCCCTTTTTTTGGCCTTCCTGCTTTAGTCTTATTACCACCTGCCTACGAAATACATTTTGACATCACTGAACATGGGTCGCTGCCACATATTGATAGGGGGGATAACAACATACTTATGCTATGACTTCACATAGAGATCTTCTTTGTGTTCTAGGTACTTACTTTACTTAAAGGATCAAAATGCTGCATGATGCCATTAATATGTGTGGTCAAGTCAGTTCCAACTTCATAATGACCCTAGAAGGGTTTCTGAAGGATATGAGATATTTAAGGAGTGGCTTTACCAATGCCACCTTCCCATTGACTTTCCAAGGCAGAACAGGGATTTGAAGCCACAGCTGAATATCTTTTTTTCTAATGCATTTTCGTGTGCACGCTGTTAGCCAGAATGCCACTGTAAGAGCTTTTTGTGGATGATCCCAACCACATTAAATGATGCATTTTATCTCATTCACAGCTGGCTCAATCATAAGGGAGTGCGGCAGAAACGAATAAACGATTGGCTGGGAATAAAAAATGAAAACATTGATGAGTAAGTTTTTTGTGTCCATAGTATGAATTTTGTAACATGAATAACCAATTGCATTAAAATGCACTGCAAAAATGTGTAGCTCTTGTGTTAGTGACCATGGCTTGGTTCTACATGTAACATGCTTCCAATAGAACCACTGAATTCAGTGGTTGAAATCCAGTAATTTAAAACACCACGTGAGGCTGAGGATGTTATCAGTTTTCACCCATGGCTATATAAAAGTATTAGTTCAAATCTATCATTATAATAAATGTACCATAAATGGCATGTAAATGGTGAAAAGCTTGTGGGCTCATTCCCATTTTAAAAACTAATACCAGAGATGGTTGAATATTATTAATCATTATGTACATAATATTTTTATCTTATGTGAATGGAATATGAGCATATCAGACAATGGAACTGTTTTTGTTTTGTTTTGTTTTTTGTTTGTTTGTGTACAACATTGAATGACTATTAACTACTTCAGGTCTTAGTCCTGTTTAAGTGTGCATGCATGCATGATTGTTCTTGTGACAAGAGTTAACATTAGTAATGCTCTTTTGATTCCCCCCTAATATTCTGTGAAGTTGGCCTTTGTTTGCAATAAGACTTGTCTCTTCCTAGTTCATACTTTACAAATGAAGAAGATGAAAACCTACCACATTATGATGAAAAGACTTGGTTTGTGGGAGATCTCAATCGCATCCAAGCAGAAGATTTGCTTTGTGGGAAACCTGATGGAGCATTTTTAATTCGAGAAAGTAGCAAGAAAGGCTGTTATGCTTGTTCTGTGGTGTAAGTAACAATCCCTTGAATTTCATTGTTGCTAAAATACTATATGACATTTACTGAGGAATAAGCCACACAAACCCTTGATAATTATTCTTCAGTAAACTTCTTGGACTTGCTTTACAATAAATATGCACAATGTTGACCTCCACATCTAGAGAATCTTTTTATCTTAGAGATTTTTATTTTTTGTTTGTTTAGCATATGAGGATGTGGATAAAGCAGTATGCAGTGATGAAGATAATATAAATTATTCAGACTCATGTGCAGAAGGATCAAGAAATGCTTAAACGGACAATTGGCCTAGAATTTTATCAGGCACAGTTCACCTGATACTAAAAGAACTAAGGCAATCATTGTTTCATCTACCTTAGCTCCATAGCCCATATGCTATTAAAAAGAGCTTTAAAAAGTAAGTTGTCAGACTCTAACTCCCATAATCCTATAGTCAGTGTGGTTACTAATTGAGGTCCTTACCTATGCTACAGTTGTTTCCGCTTTGCATTCTTAGGCTAGTCCTCTTGCCAAAAGTACTATAACATTTCCAGGTCTTCACTGGGTATATCCACTCAGGAAAAATATCTGTTAATCCATTTAAGGTCTACCCTTGTGGTCTGTTTTTATGTCCAAGTGTACTGTTACTGTGGATGTTTTACTGTCCTGTTGTATATGCTTTATCTGTTATATAGCTATAGTAAAATAGATCATCAGTTAAAATAGTTTTGATAACCAGGCTACGAGACTTTTTCCCTTCAAACTTCTTACGTTTTTGGACTAGATAGGCCTAATAAGAGCCATTAGAATTTCATAAATTTCATGATAACTTGTCAACCCAATATAATCATTAGTAATATCAATATTATCTTGAATTGTAAATTATATTCTCTTTCTTACAATAGAATTGTAATAGGCTTTTACAAGGACCAGATCTATGTATATTTCTCCGGGCTGAAGTACTTTGTCACTCATGAAATGCTTTGAGGCATTTATTTTGTTTTAAGTGGATATGAAGCTGTACATACTTGATCCTAGCTGTGGAGTTTTAGTGAATTAGTCTCTTGTGTTTTATCTCATATTAATTGGTACCTTAAATATCACTACAGGAAATATGCTTTTAAAACATGTTTTGATTGGGAAGTGTAGTTCAAATGCTAGCCACAAAAGTGCATTTCTCTTAACTTCCGAATAATTTTATGAAGCTACCTTGCAAGATTTCACTTTCTTGTGCTCCATGATCACTGCAAATGGGAACAGCAGCCCCGAAATTAAAAGACGGCTGCTTCTTGGGAGGAAAGCAATGACAAACGTCAATAGCATCTTAAAAAGCAGAGACATCACCTTGCCAACAAAAGTCCGAATAGTCAAAGCTATGGTTTTCCCTGTAGTGATGTACGGAAGTGAGAGCTGGACCATAAAGAAAGCTGACTACTGAAGAATTGATGCTTTTGAATTGTGGTGTCGGAGGAGGCTCTTGAGAGTCCCCTGGACTGCAGGGAAAACAAACCTATCCATTCTAAAGGAAATCAACCCTGAGTGCTCACTGGAAGGACAGATCCTGAAGCTGAGGTTCCAGTACTTTGGCCATTTCATGAGAAGAGAAGACGCCTTGGAAAAGACGCTGATGTTGGGAAAGTGTGAAGGCAGGAGGAGAAGGGGATGACAGAGGATGAGATGGTTGGACAGGGTCATCGTAGCGACCAACATGAATTTAACCCAACTCCGGGAGGCAGGGGAGGACAGGAGGGCCTGGCGTGCTCTGGCCCGTGGGGTCATGAGGAGGCGGACACGACTAAACGACTAAACAACAACACCTTGCAAGTGTTTGGAAGATGATATTTAGGTTCAAAAAGCTACTGTCAGCCTATTTGTTCTAATATCTTTAACAAATATGCTTCTGTAATGGGAAGGAAAAATGAGATTAATTTCCTCCAGAATTGGAGATTGAAAAGACTTTTTGTTAAATCTACACCTGGGTATTTGATAACTGTTTTTATTTATTTAGGGAAATGATTCCAAACATTCCTACTGTGCCACTCCTTGAAGTGTCCTACTGCAACAGAGTATGAGAACAGTAACATAAGATACTCTGAACTGAAAGATTTATGCCTTTCTAAAATGTTGGCTATATAGGAGATGGCTGTTGATGAGGTAGCAAGTATTCCAAATCTAGAAATCACCACTCGTACATGATTATTTATGCTGCTCTTGTTTATCATGATAATTCAGTGTCTTTCTGATAAGCCTTTAGTTTATAATCTTTATTTTTCTTTTACAGAGCTGATGGCGAAGTTAAACACTGTGTGATTTACAGCACTCCAAGAGGTTATGGGTTTGCAGAGCCATATAACCTATATAGCACCCTTAAAGAATTAGTCCTTCATTACCAGCATACCTCCCTTGTCCAACACAACGACTCACTCAATGTCCGGCTTGCTTATCCTGTCTACGCACAGATGTCCTCCTTCTGTAGATAAATTCTGGGAGAGTGAGATATAGGTGAAGTGTTGGTTATCTTGGATTTCTTTTCTACAGTTTTTATTAGAACCCAGAGGGCATTCTTTCTCCTTAGACTGCTTGTTTTGCACAAGAAGTGATTTGATGAATGTGAATTGGAGACTTAACAGCAACAAGATAACAGCTTTGGGATAGGTTGCCCTGGTGCTACCTGAAGATCAGCTGTGTTTTTATATAAAGAGACACTCTCTCTTCCCCTCTCTCTCTTTTGTTCTCCCTGTAAGGAACAAGTAACTCTCAAAATGTATACAGAATACCTAGAAGCAAAACTGTGGAGAGAAAATTTTGCTAAGTATCACAGCAGAACTTCCTACTTGGATTTTGTTTCTCTGAGGTATTGGTTACATCTTTCAGTCTTAAACTCCAGGAAAATGGGGAAAAGTCTCTACTACAGAAGCTTTCCCCCGTTGATATTAGCAGCTTTGCTGCAAGTCAGACAAACTTAAACACGAGGGCTCATCTTGATGTAGCATGGTATTCGGTGAGAGGAGACCAAAGGAATTATGGAGAGAGTTTCAGGTTCATATTTAAAAAGGTTATTGTCAAAGAAATGTTGCTTTATGTTTTACCAACAATAGCAAAGTTTTGGTTCTGACAGCACTACAGGTCTTCAAATAAAGAAACCAAATTGAATCCACCAAAACTTCTCTCATTGCTGGATTGAGCACTTATTGGGAAAACTGCATTTGTAATCGCACACTTGCCAAAACTTGAATATAGAAATGTAAAAGCTAAAACTTTATTGTGTAATTTTCAAAACGTTAACCTGACCTGATGTAACTGCACCACTTCCTTGTATTACTTTTTAAACACATTTTCTTTCTTTCAAGGATGTTAGTTCCCCCCCCCAAAAAATACTGAGCTTTGGAATGTAAACCAGAATGAAGCTGGCGTTTGGCATGTTTATAAAATACTAAACAATGAACATTCTGTTAGAAAACATTTTGGTTTGTTTGTTTGTCTTAAAAACCCCTTTAAATGTGCAATGGATTGCTTCTCAGTGGCTCGCTAAACCAAAAACAAAACCTAGCATCAAAAAACCTAGGTGCAGTCTATATACTGTTGAAACGTGTCTATAAACCTACTTGCATTTGGATTGCACCCTAAATCATTATTCCATTGTGCAGGTTGTATACTTTAAGAATTCATTGTTGGTTTTTCCCAAAGGCAAATATTTGGATATATGAGTTTTGCGGGATTAGTCAAGATATGAAGTGGTACACAGAAACAATTTTGCTCAGTTTTCATTTGCCGTGTCAGATTCATCCACATTGTATGTTTTATCAACTAATGAAATTACAGCAAATATAAGAACTGGATCCTCTAGACTGTGAGAATTTATGTTCTTAAAAATTCTGTTTCTGACTTCTTGTTACTATACATGTGCCCTTCTTGATTCCTTATTGTAATGACTGAAGATTATACTTGAGCTAGAAGACTTGCTTATGTAAAAAAGGAAAAATGGGCAGATTCAACATAAAGTCTTTCCCTTTTTTCTGGTGTAGTAATTGAAGTGCATGCCAGGGATTTGGGACATAGATCTTTTCTGGCTCTACCCTACCTTTGGTGCCACCTTGAATCCACCAGACTGTTAGACTAATGTTTACACAAAGCAGAATGCACTATATGGGAGCATAGAAGTATTATGCAGAATATGAAATTCCTGATCAGGAAAATGATAAATCTTAAGCACTATTCGTCAGTTGGAGGGGCCAAACTAGATTGCTGGACATGTCCCAAAAGCACTTCTGTTTTGCACTAATCTTCCACCACTTAAGATGAATGCTGGCTAATCAGCTGCAGCAACATCTTCTAAAAATGAGATGGTGGTGTCAAACTACCCAGTAATCTTTAAAATTGGGAGAAGGAAGTAAATGGCCTCATATGCTCCCATCTCTTCCATCTTTTCTTTACCCAACTGGACACTGCACAGTCCCCTTCAGTCACCAGCATTCTCTTCTTTCACTAAGTGTGGCTTTAGTTTACCCAAAAGAGATCCTCTGAAAACCTTGCCAGTTTGCTCATTCTAACATGTATCTGTGCATTAAACTGTCACAAGATCTTGCCCGGAAAATCAAGAGCCCCCCCTTTAAAATCAGAGGAACCTCCCAGAGATACCAGTGGTAATTTGTTCTACTTTGGGTATGATCAAACAGTAAAATAAACTAATTGGCAAAACGAGGCAGAGCTACACAAACCTCGCTGCTTTGTGTAAATTTGGCCTTATTTGCTAATGTTTTAGTGTCACAATAGACAAAAAACAATGGTAGAGCATGGATGAATTCAGAAACACACACTTCCTTCAGCTGTTTATTTTAAATTTCACAACTAACTTTTATACAGAACAGTTCAAAAGCCTCCTTGCTGGATTTCCCTTTACACCAGCACATTCTGGCACCTTTGCTTTAAAATGCTGTACAAATTAAATGTATATATAGTTCCATTTCAGTTTGTCTCTCTGCATTTGCTTTAGGTGAATAAGTAACAATTGCTGATGTTATCTATCTTGGGTATAGATGCTGCTGCATTAGACTTTTGAATGTGCCTGGCCTGTGAAAATCATTCTGATGTCAGCTGAAATATGTAGCAAGTATATTATGTGAACATCTTCATTCAGTTTACATCCACCTCTCTTGATTTAATATTCCTGACTGTGGTGGAATTTAGCTGGCCTCAAGTGGCAACCCTCCAAATTCTCATGGCTCAAATCACTTTTAGTAAGTCTAGTCCTCCTGGCATCACTACCTATCTTACAACCAATGCATTAGAGAATATAACTGAAGCTCAATAGCTAAATGTGCAGGGTGAAAGTAAAGAAGCCATCTTTGTTTTTCAAGCACATAGACCTTAATTGTGCCCGCTATGCATCCACATTAACAAGTTCTGTTTTGTGTCCATGCATAGATGACCACTTGAAGAAGGAATATTACAAAAAGTGACCCTTTTAAAAATCCAGCAGCAGTGAATTATATTGTTCTCAGTGATCCATCTTTGCAGCCTCCCCCTTCCCACAGTGTTAAGAAATAGTGTGTTCTCTTATGCACAGTTCATCGGAAATAAATTTGTAGGTTTTGGGATGATTCAGTATTTTGCTTTCTCACTGCTGGAAAACTGCTTCTTCTTCTGCAGTTACTATAGCAGGTGTGATGCACGTAGATCAGTTAGGAATGAAAAATAATGAACTACCAGTACTTTTGCTGATTAGTTTCTTTGTCAGTCACACTCCATCAGATCAAATACATGTGTATGACATTTCAGGAAGTCTTAGTATGGGCAGTGCAGCATTGTTTCTCCCTGAGAGTGCAAGGCAATACTCTGAAATTCTTCTTTAGCAGAATAGGAATAAATCCAGCATCAGTAGATACTTTACTAGTCTGTGAACCAGAGATCCATTTTAGGTCTGCATAAGATCTGGCACATGCATGCTCAAGCTGATTTCCCCATAAACACACACACACACCAAGCCAGTTATTTGTATTGCATCAGAAAACACTTCTGAAATCTCTAGAAACTCAGAAGTGATTTGTCAAGCAGTGGTGTAGGGAACTGCTATTAGAAAGAAGAAAACATTTGAAAACTCTTACACATACATAGAGATTGTTATAATAACCCTTTTGTGGCCTAAAATAAAAAGGGTCAGGGGCCCTAAATATTTAAGCTTCCCTTTAGGTCCAACAGCAAAATTAACTTTCATTCATATTTACAAAAACTGAGTGTGCAAACTCCTTCGAGTTCCAGTGCTTTTGATATATAAATGTGTAGGTGTTTGGATAAAAGTGTAAATGAGAACCACGCCAAACTGCTTGTATAAAACAGCCAAACACCAATCTGCACAAGCTCAGGAAGAGGGATAGGAGCAGTTCTTTAGCCTGTCTCAGAGCAGGCAAACAATAGCCTGTAGAAGCAAATATTTAAGTTTAGGTTTATTAGATTTCTTAGGCCTTTTTCTTAAAAAAAAAAAAAAATCAAATGTGGGCACATCTAGTGCTATATTAAGGGCTTGGATAGTTTGGGTCTGTAATTATGCTGTCGCTTGCTGTGGAAAGCTTTGACAACTTGTACAGTGACTTGATGCTGTTTCTGTTCACATAGCAATTTTCCTTTTTTGCAATCACATTTGCAGATCTAGAAAAGCCCCTTTTTGGTACTTGAACATATTTTTCTCTTTGAATGTGTGTTTGCTTTATTCTTGTTTTTTAAATTCACACTAAACAGGGAATATGAATCTAAAGTGGTAGTTCATATTGTGTGCGTGGAGACATAAATGCATAATTTTTTGTGAGGTGACAAGTTAAAATTGCAGATTTGGGCAAGTATTTTAGTATTATGTGCAAAGTTGTGTGTCATGTACTTTAATTTTTTTCTTAGTATCCATTTGTAGAAATATGAATTCATATACGTGTATATGATTTGTGGGTCAAGAAGTTTCAGTATATTTCTGAAGTGTTTAATTTTCCCTGTAAGACACTTGTTGTTGGAAGCAGTCCTACTCTTGGTTTTGGCTCTCTTTGAGACCTCCATTCACTGATGGTGCAGCATGATTTAACAGTTCTTTCAGGAAAGAACGCTATTTCTTATCCAAGAACACCCTTTCCAATCTTGTTCATTGACGAAATGTTTTAAGATATTGTAGTGGAATAGGCTGGCAGATTAAATTACCTTTTATAATAAACAGATGACTTGTGGTCCCCAGGGCTGACACCAGCAGAGGATTTAATCAGGCTTGCGCAGACAGCTGTAACCAGGCAAGGAATACACCATTAACCAATTCTCCTAATGTCACTGATCCTCTCCTAGTCCTATTACTTATTTATTCTTCATCATCCTCAGCTCCTCCCTACATGCATAAGGAGCCTCAGTAAAGTGGGGATGATGTCTGCATTACTACTTCATAGGTCATGAAAGTCATTTCCTATCACTATGGCAATCTTGATTCACTAGAGCTGGCAACAGACTGGAAAAGTTAACATCTATTGGCCTGGCAATGAAGACCATTTTATTCAGGCCAGCACTTTCCATTCTAACATGTTTCTAGCAGTTCTGCCTCATAGCCAGCTGTAGACATCTTGGCTAAGCCTGGACTCTCCTTCCAGTCAACTGAGAAATGTTGTTGTACATTCTTCTGTCTGCTCCTGTGACCTACAACAACCCTACATTGAGAGGGAATGGAAGCACTTGTCAGAAAGCAGCAGCATACTAATACTTTATGACATGGAAGGAGGGGACAGATTCTACTCCTGCCCTATTCAAAGGACTTCAGAAGCACCTTAGTTGACATTATATATCACCTTCATGCGGGTATTTCTTGTAATCCCTTTGCCACCCAGTTGGTCATCACACAGGCACAAGACACATGCAGGAATATCAGAGGTATGTGTGAAAATGCACTACACAACTTGGTTCAGTTTGCTAGATCAGTGGTTCTTAACCTTTGTTACTCGGATGCTTTTAAACTGCAACTCCCAGAAACCCCAGTCAGGACAGCTGGTGGTGAAGGCTTCTGGGAGTTGCAGTCCAAAACTCCTGAGTAACCCAAGGTTATGAACCAGTGTGCTAGATGAGACATAACTGCTCAGTGGATATCATACAAAATTATCTCAACTTTCATAGAATGCCCTCCTTTATTTTGATATGAAATGACTTTTTTTAGGCCCAAGATATAAAAAGCAGATGAATTCCAAAAAAAGTACAATATTTGAGAACCAACGTGCCCACATGTTGGGGCTGGTCTCTTCTATCATATGAAGGTGATACGTAATGTCAACTAGGGTGCTTCTGAAAGTCCTTTGAATAGGATTTAGACAGGTCAAATTGTATGAGAGGGCCAAAAGATACATGGCGGGCTCTCATCACCTTGAAGCAGCAAGTGTATAATTGTGTAGTGCTTGCATGCCCCCTACCAAAACAAGTATCAGCTTTGGGGGATGAGGAACAGTGGGAAGATAGCCAGGGAAGAGGTTTGAAAACACACACACAGAGAGAGAGAGAGAGACAGTGTTATTCCTCTGTGGACCACATAATTGTTTTGAACAATACATAGGAGATCCAGATATGGATACCTCATCTTTGTAAATTGGCCCTCAGCTAAAAAGTGTCTGGAATAAGTATGGACTGAATACTATCAAAAAATAGCAATGATGTTCTGCAGGCAGAAAGCATCCAATGGAGGGAGGGGATTCATGAGAAACCCTTATGTCTGTTTTGTAACAAAGGGCATATGAGGATCAATAATCCATCTATGACTTTTCTAGATTATTACAAGTTTAAAGCACTGGCATCTTGGGCTGGATCCATAGTTTTTAATGCAGATTTTTCTACTGTTCTGCTTTAGCAACATGCCTCCTGTTTTATGGCTTATACAGATATTGCTGTTGGGTTAGAACACAACTTGAAGAGCAATATGCAGCGAGTGGCATAGAGGAATACCCTGGATTTGATAGGAAAGATTGTTTCAGTGATAGAAATAGTACTGCATGTCGCAATGGCTCGTGTTTTAAACCCCACTCTGGTATTTCATATTGCTTGGTATCTTGCCTATATCCATGAGATCATTGCACTTTCTTCAGTTAGCACCTTGGTCCACTTATTTTTTAGATGCAGGGGAGCAGGATTTGCAACATCTATCAAAAAGCTACTATTTCAAGATATTTTCAGGGCTCAACATGCTCCCCTCTTCATCAGCATTATATTACTTTTAGTGGCGTTCCACCCTGGTCCTTTACACCAGCCAGCTGTGCAGGTAAAATTGTGTGCTGTCTTTTGAAATGCTGAGTGCTTGGTCTTTGGATGACTAACTATAAAGAAGTATGGCTCAATATGTTGATAATTCTGTAATTTTGCCAGTTTACAGCACCATGGGATTGTATTGGTCTGTAACAAATCACTTGCTCTCTCTCTCTCTTTCTGTCTGTGTGTGTGTGTACTGTATGTATATAGATATACGGGGAACAAAATTCACATACACATGTTTTTTATGCATTGAAGAGGCAGTGCCCTTCTGAAAGTCCATTTTCACTATTTGCACTTGCTTTCTCCACCTTACAATCTGACAGCTGGGTATTGGTGGGTTTTGTTTTTGGGTTTTTTTCTATTTAGCTTTGTTTTTGCCTTCCTTCAAATGGACCTCCTCACCAATTTTCATGTGTTTTTATTTACTTTTCAATGTTTTTAAGATTTTAATCCAGATTAAACGTTTATTCAAAGCAAAGCTACATTTCTATAAGCCACATTTTAAAAGATACAGCAATGGTTACACACATTTTTACATAACTGAAAACCCCATCTAAAACTAATGTGCAAAGGAGGGCAGTATTGTTGTGCCATTAATCATTGTGTATGGGAATGTGTGTGTGTGTTTATGTACACACACACATACGTATATACACATACACATATAGCTTATATCTGTCCAAGAATGACTGGGTAACTTCACTGTCTTGCATTGAAGGATGCCAGGGCTGTGCACTCCATTGTACCTCCCACACATGAATACTGCATTCTTGAAATCCACTTTGGTTTTCCTTTTAAGGGATGTTATTTGTCAAAAACTTGCTTCTCATGAAGCAATGGGATTGTTTTTGGTTTTGTTATTTTTAATATGAATTCCAGCATGTAATTTTGGTAGTCTTGTTGGTATGTAAAAACCTGTTCTGTCATTTTATGGTATAGTCAAATTCATGTAGTTTAACTTTTAAAAAGAAACTGCTTCATGGGAAAACAGTTGTATGTTAGTCATTATGTAGTTTCTAGATGAGTAATGCAACATTGTACTTGTCACCAAATGTGCTATGATCTTACTGTATGTTTCTATTTTTAAAAAATAGATGGTTGAGCTTTGGAATCCCGGACACTAAGCATTCTGGCCTACTTTGCTTTAGAATAAAATGCAATAAAAGATTGCAATAAAGCACATTTAAATGTAATGTTTTAGAAGGATGTACTGACCGCTGTTTCTAATAAATTCAGAAATACAGCCTATCTGTTAATGATGTGGTGGTAAAAATGCGTTGGCTCTGTTTCAGAACTTTGATATTGTCTTAAACATATGTTCTAAAGAACATTTTTCATATAAAAGTATTTTGGAATCCCCATGACTATTACATTTCAGAATCCTAATTGGCAGGGTGGATTGTCCATCTGCAGAAACACCAGCTACTAACTCAGAACTTGCTTCAACATTAAAACTATTGTATATTTGGGGTATGCAGTCCCTATACATCTATAGTCTCAGGGGGAAAAACCTGGGGGCTGAAGGGAACAAAGTATCATTTATGAACTCATAGTTTCATCAGCCTCTACAACAAACTAAATATTTAAAGATGCAAAGCATCTGAACAATATTATAATAGTCATATAAAATTGTTAGTATCTAGGGCTAATCTAGAGTTAGTGAACACAGTGTCACAACTATCTTGGTTATTCTGACTGCTAATGCTGTTTTTTTTTTTTTAATGTGAAGCTTTAGCTATCAATTAAGCACCCAGTTCAGTAGATATTCTGCATAGTCAAAGCTTTATCACAAAGCACTAAGTCTGGTTTCACCACTAAGTCTTCAATTACGCAGCAACATCATTGCTTACATACACACATATTGTATTAAATTCATTTTAAAAAACACAACTCCATTTTATGAATGTGAGATACTGTGTTTCTGTATCCATGATACAAAACACCGGGAAATGGCCTATACTGCTACACAATATCATGCCCGTGTTCCAGCAGGAAGAAGGATACCAAGCTTTACATAACAAATGCCAGTCTGAATGTTGAAAAAAACCAATGGAAGCAGTCAAGATCTACAGGTTACTCTCTTGTGCTCACTACCACTCACAAAGTAACACAAAACAAGGGGAAAAGTTCCAAAAGCTAACTCTTTCTCCATTAGTTAATCATTTCTCACTCAAACACATAGCAATTCAGGGCTGCTTTTCAACAAGTGTGAATGAATGGTAGTGAACACAAGAAGGCATCCTGTATACCAGCCATATTCAACCTTTTTTTGGTCATGGTCATAAACACAAAATGAAAGAAATATAGGCCAAATCAGTCACATAACCTTATAAGGTGATGTGTGAAGAACTATTTCCAGTTTGTGGTCCCCTTCAAATCTGCCAGGGTGCCATATGGCCCTCCCACTGAGAATGGCTGTTGTAGACTGTCATTCTGAATAATAATACAGAAGCTCCTATTTATAAAAATGAAGGGTTTTTTTTTAATGATTTGAATTTCCTGGCTTTTTAAAATGAAAGTTAAGTATACTTACACTATGCAAAAACTCCAACAGGAACTTAGAATTACCCAGTGGTAAAGAATCTTAAAAGATGAACACATGATCTGTACTATGGTTGCTGAGAGAGGACAGAACCAATAACAGCTGTAGTCAGAATACTTTGAGGGGCTGTTTTTGGACTTAATGAAATGGTGAAGCAAAGGTGTAAGTGCAACACACACAATGGAGAAACATACACAGCTTTTAACCTTTCACGTAAATTACTACTGTCATGGCCACTTCTCAGAACGCAAACTTAGAAAGCTATGTTCCAATTTCAAAACCCTTTCTTTGGATTAGGCCAGTGGTTCTTAACCTTGGGTTACTCAGGTGTTTTTGGACTGCAACTTCCAGAAGCCTTCACCACCAGCTGTGCTGGCTGCGGTGTCTGGGAGCTGCAGTTCAAAAACACCTGAGGAACCCAAGGTTAAGAACCACTGGGTTAGGCAACCCAAGGAAGAAAAGTTGTATTAGACCAAAAGCTGTACAAGCATGTTGTGTGCATATTTTTCAAAAGATGTCCCCTCACCTTTTGAAATACAGTGGTGCCACGCAAGACAAATGCCTCGCAGGACAAAAAACTCGCAAGATGAAAGGGTCTTGAGATATTTTTGGTGCCTCATAAGACGGGCTATATTGTAATATTTTTCGTCTTGCGAGGCACGTTTTCCATAGTCAGAAACAAAAAAAGTCACTTACCAGGGAGCCCTGGATCAGCCTGAAAAAGCGTGCCAAACAGCCGAGACTCGGCAACCAGCAGGGAGGAGCAGGCAGACATTTTGAGGTCGTCTCTGCTCCTGCCCCCCTCAGCTGATCGGCGCTGGGTCTAAGAGGCTTTTTCCCTGCTAGGCAAGCCTCGTGAAGACTCTTAAACCCAGTGCTGATTCCAAGGCTACAAAGGCACCATGAGGAGCTGGGCTCAGTCTACTGTAGTACTGTGCTTGGTAAGTGACTTTTTGCTTACTTTTTTTGTTTCTGACTTTTTTCCCTCCATAGGAACACATTAATTACATTTCAATGCGTTCCTATGGGAAAACGCACTTTCAAGATGAAATTTTCACTAGACGGCATTAACCATGAAACAGATTAATTTTGTCTTGCGAGGCACCACTGTAATAATAATAATAAAAAGGGAGAGCTTGGCAGACGGCATTAACCATGAAACAGATTTGTTTTGTCTTGCGAGGCACCACTGTAATAATAATAATAATAAAAAGGGGGAGCTTGGAGTTAGCAATGATTGTCACTGGAAACCAAAGTTAAAATCATCTATGTGAACGAAAAACAGAAAAGACAGGAACAACATCAACTCATTTGAAATGTGTTGGAGAGTCTTACAGATACCATAGGCAGCCAGAAAGGCACAAAAATGGGTGCTAAATCAAGTCATACCTTAACTCTCACTAGAGCAAAAACTGGTCAGTTGAGGCTATCCCCCAAAGCTGAGACTTGTTTTTGTGTGGGGCATACAAGTTGGGGGGAGGGCAGTATGAAAAGAGGAATACCAAACATGAGATGGGTTGACTCAATACAGGAAGCCACAGGTGTTTGTTTGCAGGACAGAAGCAGAACTTACTGGAAAAGAAAATATTATTAGGAAGGAGAGAGGACAGAAGGAAGGGAAAACAGCCTAGCCCAAAAGGCTATAGGTTTGCAAAATCTGAACACAGCTGTTAATGACAGGACATTTTGGAGGCCATTAACTCATAATCACTACACATCAGAAGCAGCTAGATGGCACATAACATATTTGGAGGGGTTTTTTTTCATAATCACTAGACAACTATATTGCAACAAGATGGGTGAAAAGCTTGAAACTATCATAGCAAAAAGATACTAAAGCTCTGCTAACATCAAGTAAGACTATCCCAGCCACAAAGCAAAAAACAGCAAATTTACAGCTTAAATTTTGTCAATATGTTTTTAAAAATATTTTTACAATCATCCTATTTGGCCAGGAAGGTGTTAAACAGTTATCCCTCTGAGAGTCAGCTAATTAATCTCACAAAAGTTCAAATCTCCCTTCCCAGCTCACAAGCTGCAACAATGTTGCTAACCTTGGAAAGTTCCTGCTGCTAAGGGAGTTTTTAAGACACTCAAAAGGTTTTATGTTTTTGAAAGGCATTTTTGAGCATCAGTACTTCTTAGCCCAGTAACACAAAGCATCAGCCTAGATTCCTTCCAAATTAAAAAAAGCGGCTGGGACTGACCATTTTCTTTCAAGATAATCTAGACTAATCTTTTCAATTTATTTGATCTGTTTTAAATCTCCTGACAACAAAGGTTGCTGGTGTCTGCAGGGGTGGTGGTCGTGTCTATATTTAAAAAGTGTAACTTTAAAACTATTTAACTAAATGTCCCTAAATTTAGCACAGAGCAACATCATACTGCTTATTCTTATTGTGCCACATCTGGTGAAACTCAGTTTCAAGTTACAATGTTTTCTTTGGGCTGCTCCCATTTTAAGAATTGGCTTATAGAACATTGATTTGCTGTGCCAGCACAATATCATCACCACACTCTTGTGCAGCTACAATACAAGCATATGTGGATAACCCTGGTCACGCTGATTCATCATCTGGATGGTAATGAACAGGTCATTAGGGGTAAAATAACAATCCTAATCAGGTTGACTGGAGGGCATGGAAAGGATATAATCATCTTCCCAATTTTCAAAAAGAATAATATTTTCCCACATCTATTAGCTTGCTGTCCTCACAGCAGTCTGGGAAGCTGGAAGACAGGGGGAGGTAAAAGATGCTTTTTCCCTTTCATTCAGAGCCAGCCTTGGGGTGCATGAGCCAAGCACTTGGAGTGTCAGAGTGAGCTGAGGGGAGTACCAAGCGGATTTAAGGAGCCCTGTTTTGTGGGTGGTGCTGGTCCAGCATTTTTATATAAATGTGCTGTTTGCAGTGAGCTAAGGTAGGAAAACAACCGTATATATTTTTTTGAAAAGATTCTAGGATTGTTTCCCTTGTTGTCACATAATGAGTATCCTACTGAAGTATTAAGATTGTTGTTGCTGTTTAGTCGTTATGTCCGACTCTTCTTGACCCAATGGACCAGAGCACGCCAGACCCTCCTGTCTTCCATTGCCTCCTGGAGTTTGGTCAAATTCATGTTGGACGCTTTGGTGACACTGTCCAGCCATCTTGTACTCTGTCGTCCCCTTCTCCTCTTGCCTTCACACTTTCCCAACATCAGGGTCTTTTCTAGGGAGTCTTCTCTTCTCATGAGATGGCCAAAGTATTGGAGCCTCAGCTTCAGGATCTGTCCTTCCAGTGAGCACTCAGGGTTGATTTCCTTCAGAACTGATAGGTTTGTTCTCTTTGCAGTGCAGGGGACTCTCAAGAGTCTCCTCCAGCACCACAGTTCAAAAGCATCAATTCTTTGGTGGTCAGCCTTCTTTATAGTCCAGGTCTCACTTCCATACATCGCTACTGGAAAAACCATAGCTTTGACTATGTGGACCTTTGTCGGCAAGGTGATGTCTCTGCTTTTTAAGATGTTGTACAGGTATGTCATTGCTTTCCTCTCAAGAAATTTTATGGCTGCTGTCACCATCTGCAGTGATCATAAAGCCCAAGAAGGTAAAATCTGTCACTGCCTCCATATCTTCCCCTTCTATTTGCCAGGAGGTGATGGGACCAGTGTTCATGATCTTAGGTTTTTTGATGTTGAGCTTCAGACCATTTTTTGTG